AAATAAACATTTGAAATATATGAGTTTGTATGTAATGTATGAATATAATATACAAGTTTCACTTTTTAAATGGAATTACTGAAATAAATCTACTTTTTCATGATATTCTAATTTTATGACCAGCACCTGTATATTTATTTCCTTGTGCACTGGTGTTTGTGTCTCTGTTAGCAAAATAGCTCAAATCAGTGAAGAAATGTAATGAATTTTGCTGAAAGTAGCCATTGGTTGTACAACTACTGGTTAACATTTTTAGCTCAGGTCACCTATAATGATGTAATGTGAAACTGACTTGAGGATGTAGCAGTTTTAAAATACCAGAGGTACACGGACTAGCCATTAGCTCATCAATTCTGTCAGAATTAAGCTGTTTCTCCAAACCTGAGGTCATTAAAAGATTTATCTATGTCAGGTAAGGTTTTTTTTTTCTTTTTACAACTTTTTACAAAGAAATGTACTTATTTTTCTTTATTCTTTGTTTTTTTTTAAATTATTTTATATAGATCGTTTGTTACAGTCAATAATCCATCTGCATTCAATGAGATTCAAGTAAAATCACAAATTTATTTCAAAAACTTCGTAATGGTTGGTCTATTCGTTTGATTGCTGGTCCAAATATAATGTTTTTTAGCATTTCCGTTGTATAATAGCTGTRTTTGCTTCTCTTCCAGGCATCATCCACAAATGACATTACAAAAGTATGCAAAAGAGTCACAGAGGTAAGTCTGAGAGGGAGAAGCTGTGAGAATTTCAGAATAAAGTACAGTCTGTGTTTTATAGTTTTTTTTTTTAAATGATACAAACATTTTGGTTTGATTTGGTTTTAGAATTATTCCTGTCTGGAAAAGTAAAGATGAGAGAAGGAACATAAAACCTTTTTTTAACCTCAACCTCAATGAGTCAGACCTTCTTGTCCAACATCAGTAGGCTCAAATTTACACAGAAAGTTTTTTTATGGCTTCCCACAAGGTTTTGTTGTGTTTCTGTGTGTGAGTTTGTGCCCATGCCATCTGAAGAGCATTTTTCTGAGGTCAGGCACTGATGTTTGACCAGGAAGTCTGTCTCACAATCCCAAGTGAGCTTAGCCATTAGCTGCATGCTGTTAGCCAGTAACAATCACTGTGTTGAAGATGTTCATCTGAACAGCAGTGGCCAGGATTAATACAGCTTCTCTCTTCTCTTTCTAGAACTCCCTTTACAGCTGCATCACCAAAAATGAAAGTAAGTTGTTCGTCACACACACACACACACACACACACACACACACACACACACACACACACACACACACACACGTTTGCATAGCTATCCATTTGGGGACATTCCATTGACTTCCATTACATTTCTACAGCCTAACCCTTCAAACATACTCGCTCTGACGCCGATGGGTCGACGCGCGGTCACGTGGTTTATCAGCAGTCTTTTTCGCACAGATTTTAGTCACTACGCCGAGCTCGGGAAACCTCCATCCCACTGTACCATGTGTCACTGCATGGAATTTCCCCCCCGCAACAGCCGACAATCATTGCAGAAAAAAAAAGGCTCGTCACTCTTATCTACATCTGTCCTGGTTAAAGCTCTACAGTTTTTATCAGTCCGATTCCTCCGTGCACAACGTCTGTTTTATCTCCATTCATGAGT